AAGGGGAAGAAGAAGGGGAAGAAGAAGGGGAAGAAGAAGGGGAAGAAGAAGGGGAAGAAGAAGGGGAAGAAGAAGGGGAAGAAGAAGGGGAAGAAGGGGAAGAAGGGGAAGAAGGGGAAGGGGAAGGGAAGGGAAGGGAAGGGAAGGGAGGAATCCTTAGGGAAGGCAGGAGTAGCACAGATACTCAGGAAATTAGAGCAGGAGGATCACAAGTTCATAGCCTCCCTGGTCTATAAGACTAGAGTTCAAGGTTTAGCCTGAACAAACTTAGTAACCACCCTGTCTCAAAATAAAAAGAAGAAAACTAAGGATATAGCTCAGTGATAGAGCACTTGTCTAGCACACATGAGGACCTAGGTCCAGTACTGGAGTGGGGGCAGGGGGGGCATTCTGAATTATCTTCCACATATGGAAACCTAAATTTAAACTGTACTCCTAAGACATGTCCATAATCCCAGCCCTCAGGAGGTAGAGGCCAGAGAATCAGAAGTTTGAGGTCATCCTTAGGCTACACAGTGAATTTAAGGCCAGCCTGGGATACATAAGACCGAGTCTCAAAAAAAAAAAGTGCATGGGTATGGAACCCTCAGGTACATTTCACCCTTGGACTGCTGAGTGGCCCATTCGGTGATATCAACATCTCATTCACACCATAGTTTTGAGACTTAGCAAGATGACAGAAATGGGTATGGTTTAGTTTTAAATGTATTAATGTTAATTATTATTTGGTACAAAGACAGTGCTCAGGGAGCTAGAGTGGTTGCTCATCAGTTAAGAGCACTTGCTGCTCTTATAGTGAACCTGGGTTTGGTTCTTAGCAGCCATATAGCAGCACATGGCTACCTGTAACTCCGGTTCCAGAGGATCTGCCTCTGGCTTCCTCGGGCACATGGCACATACCTGATGCACATACATGTGTGCGGGCACTCACACATACATATAAAAATAAGCAAGTCTTTTAGAAAAGACATTAGGCAACAGGGTGATCAAAGGCCAGTTGTTTCTTCAAGGTCACATAGCAGCTCCTACATAATAATGAGGTATCAAAAACTGCTGACCAACTGGCTTCTGGAACAGTGTGCACCAAAAAATATTGTCCTGAGAGGGATGCTAAGTAGCTAGTGCCACAATGAAAATCAGCAACTACTGTTGTCTTGTCCAAGCAAGTCTTGCTAGAGAGAAACATTCAGTGGGAATAAAATGCTCAGCAAACAGAGCTGTCGGATAAACCATACTATGAACAGCTCCACTGAAGAGCTTCAGACAGACCAACACAGAACATAACACATAATTAATTCCCTTCCCTCTCTCAGGAGTCAGGAGAACAGGATAAAACTGATCGATTTATTGACAGGCAGATGACAGACAGAAATACAAACTCTTGTGGCAGCAATAGTTAGAGAAAGCAAGGACATGACTATTCAAACTACACAGGAAGGAACAGCACATATTTTTTTATTTTGATATCAGCAGTGCTCTAGCCCATTAAAAACACCACCAACCCAGCTTTCCCCTGATCTAGTTGGATCAGTGTGTTATAAATATTCAATCACATTTCCAAGAGAAAACAGTATTTCATGTCTTAATAAATCAATTCTTAGTATCTGCTGTGTTGAATAGAAATTTAAACACTATCCATATTTGTCTTGTCTTTCATTAAAAAGCTAGGACACCATAATATATTCCACCGTTAAAGGAAACTTTCACACTACACAACACTATAGTCATTAAGAAAAAATAGCATCGCTGGATCATTAGCATGTCTTTAAAAGGCAGCCAAAGTAAGGGTGGGTTTTAGCTAGAGCACAGGGCAGGGTGGGGGGTGTTGGATCAGTTTGCATGCTTCCGTGTTAAAATAACAAGTGTTCAAAACTGAGATCCTCCTTCAGCAAATACAAAGAAATTAGTCTGAATTCGCTTTTATTACTCAAGATAAACTCAACACCGCTTCCTTTATTTTCTCCCAAATGTATCTTCCAAGTAGCCTTGCATAACCTTATCCTCTTAATTTCTACCACTTGGCTTAGCAGGACCTGAGTCACCAGAAATATGAGTGGATCTGTGGTTGTGACCTGAAGTTACTCTTCAAGCACCAACCAGGTCATGCCTTGCATTAATAATATATCCCAAAAGCTGATATACTTATTCTCTTTACTTAAATGAAGCAAAAATTGAGCTGGGTGTCAAGGTGCTATAAACTCAGTTCTCGGCAGAGTTCCAGGCAAGCCTGGGCTACATAACAAGCTCCAGGACAGACTGGGATACATACAGACTGTTACTTTGTCTCAAAAGTAGCAGTAAAATGGGGGGAGGGACAATTGGCCCCAACTCATATTCTAACTGCAGCAGTACATCAAATTTCAATCCTCCACAATACACAAAGTCTTTCAAAGAATTACAGAAGAATTTGGATAGAGAAGTGTCTACTAGTCTGTTTTTAACCTATCCATACACAAAAAATATTGTTAAACTTATCTAATTTGAACATGACTCCCAACTCCGTTTACTCTGTATTGTTTCTTCTTCCATGTCAATCCAATAAAAATGGCAAATGTCTGCACTCATTTTTAAAGATCATTTGGTATACTCTATACCATTAGTTCCTATCTTAGGAGGAACAAAGAATTTTCAGTGTTGATCCTGATTCCATCTTACTAAATATTACATTTTCAATGTTTTACTTACTGTAAAAATACCATAAATGAACCAATTCCACTGATATAGTATAAATCTTTTATACAAATAATACGAAAGACAATTTAAATTGGTTGGATTGTTATCCACAATACAATACCAAGTTGATATTCACATGCACTTTCTTTCTTTCTTTTTTTTTTTTTTTCGAGACAGGGATTCTCTGTGTTAATAGTCCTGGCTGTGCTGGAACTCACTCTGTAGACCAGACTGGCCTCACAGAGAACCTCTGCTTCCCAAGTGCTCGGATTAAAGACGTGTGACACCACTGCCTGGCCTCATGCCCTTTCTTAAGAGTTCCTAAGTTATTCTTTTTACCACAGGACTACATGAACTCTATTGTGCATCTGCACATTCTGCAGTCTTCTCAAAGTTTCATAGGAGCTATCCCAAAGATTTTTATATTTACTTGTAATTCAATCAGCAAGACTGGTAACAGAAATAATCTTTTGACTTTTTTTTCAGTCAGGCAAAATCTGCTATTCTCAGGTCAACTTTATAAAGCAGATGTGGCAAATAGGCCATGGATCATTCACCACTGTGATAAATGAAGTCACTACTACAATTCACAAAGGTCTCAAGGCCTTTAACAAAGACAGTATGACATAAGTCCAGTTACAGAACTAAATAGTCTAGAATATATCTTTGTTCTTGGCCATCAGAGGTAAGAAACAGGAACATGGGCTGAAATAAAGTGACAAAACACATGAAAGGTCTCTTTTGTAATTTTAATTGAAGCACTGCTAATCACTTGAGTCTTTTTAAAGCACCAAATTTTAATATCTAAGTCAATTTGGGAATGGGGGGGGAACACTATCAGGAACTTCTCTCCAGAATAAAACAATATTTACTCCTCCACATGTCCAAATTAAAATCTACTAAAACCCAAACCCCACACAGAGAAAAAAAATACTAAAATCACATTCTAGGGGGTCAGTGCATTCCGCAGTCTTTGCTGGGCTGTCTAATTGTCCTTCAGCTGACTTTCAAAAATTAACACCCTAGCTCATTAAAATATACATTTTCCCATTGGCTTTTTTAAATTAAAAATAATAATTAAAAAAACACTTGAAGGAATTCGTGACCAGTTGCCTGACTCAGTTGATGGTATATAGGACATATGGAAGTCAGGAAGGCGGCTTGCAGCACACGACATTCAGGGGATGCTCATCTTTAAGGCTTAGCTTTCTTCCAAACAGTGTAAAATACCCACCTGGACAGGGAGTCAAGGAATAAGGAAGGTCATTCAAGAAGGAGCAGGTACCAGTTAACATGTGTACATAGGCCTACAAATTGAAAGAGGGACAGAGATTTATTGGCGTAGATTGAACACTGTGGGGATGGGACAAAGGGCTTTTAAACAAGACCACTTTGCAGCATGGGACATCTGACATTTGGGACAGTTCTCTCAGGCAACACTGTTGCTTCTGCTCTGGAGGCCTCCCAAAAGTTTGACAAATTGGTATGAGGAGAAGAATAAGGGACAAGTGGATGGGAGTAAAGGAAGAGGGCAAAGAGGCAGGGGAGGTGGAAGAGTAGAACAGAAGTTAAAGGGACTCTAAGACCCAGAAGCCTTCTCCACATTACCCCTATTTCTCAAAGCTCTAAGCATGAAGAACAGTTAAAGGGACAAGGGAGCAGTGGAGATGGAAGAGATGTTAAATCTCCACAAGCCATTGAAGGACATGGCTGCCCAGCAAGCATAGTATCCCCCGCTTTGGGCAAAGGACCTAGGCAGCTCTTGTCCCTTACTAGGCATCCAGCTTCAGCAGCCTATTTGCCCCAAGCTAGGAGCCAACCCAGGGCCAGCAGCAGTTCGAGGGCTCCCTGATAACAAGGGAAACTGCCATCATGAAAGAAACCTGGACTCAGCTTGCAGCTATGGAAGCTGATGATTGCTAAGAATGGTTTATCACAAATATGGCTAGTCCTGCTAGCCAGCTTACTCAGGGGATCCCCCACTTTCCCTTTCATATGCTGAAATTGCTGGTGGGCCATTAAGCTTTTATGTAGGTTTCTGGGAATTCAAACCACTTCTCAAGTATCGGGTACTCATCAGTCCCCTGGAGGACTGAGGAAACAGGCCATTGGGCCCCATCTCTACTGGGGTAATAGTTCTGACTGGGGCGACAGAAGAATTTGCATATGCCTGGCTAGGGCCTGTCACTCAACAAACCATTGTTTCTGTTTTAGATCAGTGGGACTTAATGATTAAAGGCCCCTGGGAATCTATGACAAGGGACACCCCAGTCTCTAAGATCCAAAAATAAAGCCTATTTTTCAAGTTCTCAGGAAGAGTCCCACTTAAGTTTGAAACTCAGGGCTTATATACTATAGAGCTAATTCTGCTTGTTGTTATGATTAATAATGGCAGCATGTGATGTACTTAGATGATCTGAAAAAGTAGCACATAATGTCATGGTCAAAGGATACAATTCCAAGTATGAAGGGACACAGACAATCTCTTTCGAGAATTCCACAGGACAATACAGGCGCCCCAGCTGTTCTTCATAGAGCGACAGGGCTTCAGTCAAATTGACACAATTCCCCTAAATCAGAGAGAAAAGCAAACAATGGGATTTCCAAGTCATACTCATTTGAAGGTCTCTAATAAAGGGAGAACAATTGGAGCTTGAGATAAAAGTTCATCTTTAAAAATGAGATAAGGCCTTTATACTTCCACAAATTACACTGAATTCTATTTATGGATTCATTAGTTCATTCTCTTTCTACCTCATTTACGGAGCTATTTCAAATTATTGAAGTATGAAGCAATAGAAAGCAGTGAGGCCAATTTCTCATTAGTGACATAGTTCATTGTATCCACACCATGCAATTTAGCATATTCATCCACATAACCCACCACTCAAAGTAAATTTTTTGTCAGTACCGGTCACAACTGTGTTGAAACTGAAATATCAAAATGATGTTCTTTCTTTCCACAATTATTTAAACTACATCCTTTCTTAAAAATAAGTTCTGACACAACTGTATTCATACCTCATCCTTTCCTCAAATTCTGATTCTGATTTTCTTCAAGTGTGCACTACTGTATGAGTGTGATAGTCTGAACTTTGTGGAATCAGTTCTCTCTCTCCACCTTTTGATGTGGCTTCTGGGAACCAAACTCGGGTTGTCAGGCTTCTGCTGCAAGCCTTTGTATCCACTGAGCCATCCCACTAGCCCTCTGTGACTAATTTTTAAGGAATAAGGAACAATGTGAGATGAAAAACTTCACAAGTGCCCTATGACGTCAGAATTTCTGAGAACAACCTTTTTAAACCAAGTATCCAGCCAGCCAGCCATGGAAAGGGGTTAGAACTATTCCAAGAGATGGCCTTGGTAGCTTCAACTTAGCACATTCACTTAGCACAACGTCATCCTTCAGTGCCAGCCTGTTTAATAACCCATCATCTAGGGTCCTGCAGTGGGATTTAGCCAAAGTGCCCTTCACCAGCATATAATTTGGTTTCAACATCAAGTTCACCATGAGAGCATATAAACACCACACATGTAATTTACAATTCGTAAATAGAAAACACTGTGCAGTTGTTTTTAGAACACATCACCACTGGGGAAGCGATATAAAACGGAAATGCCACCAAGGTGTACAGCTGAATGATCGTCTGCTATCTTAAAAATGACACCCTGCTGTATGTTTAAAGAGGACATATGGGAGGGCCGGACCTCCTTACTGAGAATATGGTACAAAAATTGGAAGGTTTCAATTTATTCTTTCCCAACATTGTCATGAAGCAGTTTTTCAAAAGAAAAAGGGAAAGAAGAAACTCCACAAATAGAGACCTACCCAAAAAAGGAACATGATAAATTTCACTTTCCTGTCTACATAAATAGAACATTTTTTTTCTTTTCTTTTTAAGAAAGATACATCAGAGTTCCAAAACAAAACCCAACAGCAAAGAAATAATCACCCATTAGTTCAGCAGCTTCGGTTCTAGAAAATTCTCCATGCCTCATATTATACTTAAGTAACACTTGCTTTTTTAGTTTACAGACTTTTGTATTGTTTACATTTTTAACCTTAAATCAGTTTGTATTATTTCTGTAATATAAATCCTTATCTGTGCCCTTATTAGTTTCAAAGGTGAGCAAAACTAGCTGGGTGGCACATGCCTTAAATCCAAGCACTCAGGAGGCAAAGGCAGGTGGATATCTGTGAGTTAAAGGCCAGCTAGCCTGCTCCATGCAACCAGTTCCAGGCCAGCCAAGGCTGCATATACTCTGTCTCAAAAAGTAGGGGTGTGGGGGGGGGAGTAGGACTAGGACAGATGACTCAGTTGTTAAGAACACTTATTGCTCTTCTAAAGGGCCCAAGTTCAGTTCTTAGCACCCTCTTGGACAGCTCACCACTGCCTGTTAGCTCTAGCTCCAGGATGACCCAATACCTCTAGTCTCCTAGGTCATCTGCATTCACATGCACATACCCACACACTCACACACACATACATATACATAATTAAAAATAACAAACCTTTTTTTTTTAAAGCAAGCAAAACTAAATAGTAAAAAAAAAAATCACACTTAGGTGAACTAGAAAAAAAATTTTTTTGAGAATTGACACTAAAGGACAGGAAAGATGGCTCAGTGGTTAAGAATTCTTACTGCCCATGCAGACGACCTGAGTTCAGTTTTCTGTACCCATGTTGGGCAGCTCACAACCACAAGTAAGTTCAGCTCCAGGGGATCTGACCTCAGTGGCCTTAGAGGGTACATGCACTCACATGAACATACACAAACACACACATTTTTTTTCAGTTTTTGTTTTGCTTTATGAGACAAAGTCTCTCTGTTATGTAGCCCTGGCTGTTCTGGAACTCTTTACATAAATCAGATTGGCCACAGACTCACAGAGATCCACCTGCTTCTGCCTCCCAAGTACTAGGATTAAAGGTCTATGCCAGTATGCCCAGCTTAAAAAAATCAAGAAGAAAAATTGACAGTTAAGGGTGGTGAAGAGCACATACTGGGAGTACAGACACTCAAGAGTTCAGTTTTCCACACGCATGTCAGGGGGCTCACAAATGCTTGGAACTCCAGTTCCAGGGAATCCAACACCCTCTTTTGGACTCCACAGGCACCCACACTCTGACTCACAAATAACTGGAAACATAAAATAAAAAATAAATGAAGAAAAATTTCAAATGATGCTAATGATGGATTACTCCCAGAAAGCAGATTATGAGAGTGGTCAGGAGTTTGCTGCATTTTTCATGGTAGCTTCCCTGTGTCTCACATACCCATTTTTGTATGTAGCAGTGGGGGGGGGAAGGGTTGGAGACAGAAGATACATGGTCAAGTCCCAGAACCTTACTTCTATTCTCAAAAATACACATTCCCAAGTTCTGTGGCAAGATAGTAAGGCTACCTTCAAGCACCCAGTGTGATGCCAGGATGTCACAAACTGGCCACTGTGACACAAGCAATGTGTTGCTGGGAAGATTCAGTTTTTGAAAATCATTATATAACACCCTCACCCCATCATTAACCATCTCCATTTTTTCTGCTCTACACTCCACCTAAGGACAGAAGAGGAATGGTAGGAATGAAGTGAGCATGTCACTAGGTAGTAAATAAGTGGAGTCTAAGGTTATAAGTCAATGGGAGAACTCCTGTCTAGCAAGCAGGAATTCACCACAAAATAAATGAATAAATAATGAGTGAAAGAATGAATGAATGAATGAATGAATGAATGAATGAATGAATGAATGAATGGTGGAGAGTACGGCTTCCTGCAAGGCTTATGCCCCTTAATCCATGTGAATTTTGGTGTGTGACACATACAGACACCAAATAGAAGAAACAACCCCAGGGTATCACAAAATGTTATCACTTCATATCTCCACTTGTAGTGAATGGGAGGACAGAATGTTCACAGTGATGTCTTTTGAATAACTCTTGGCAAAGAACATAGCCTTGGACTTATGATCTGTAATATAAATGATCTGGAGGTTTAAAAAAGAAACAGTTCACAAAAGCAAGTTATCAAAGTTTGAGTCATTAGTATTTGCACATGCTGTATTCTCATGGAACATTTCTATCAGTTTCTCACACTAAAGCACCAGTTCCCCATTGCAGGCAAGGAAAAACCACCATACCTCCTAATGGAACCTTTCATCTACTCCAAACTGACTGCTTCAGAGTATCCACACTTAAATCCCCTTGCCTCAGCCTCCCAGGTAGTTGGGATTATAGGCAGATGGCACCCATGCCTAGCTTGTTTTCAGTCTCTGTACTGAAGCAGAGGAAGCCCTGCATTAGTGCAGTCCTGCATGAGTATTATTGTCATGGGCATGCCTCAGCCCCATAGGAATGGTGAGATTCAAAGAAATGGCAATACCTTCCTGGGGGTTTTAATGCTAGTGATTAATCAATGTGTACAAAACTAGTAACAACTTTCTCCTCCAGGATGTTCACAACCTGAGACTGCTCACTTATAGATGCCTCCTCCCAAGACTAGCTAACTTCTTTTCCCTATGCTGTACATAATAAAACATGCCGAGGTTCCAAGATGCTTGCAGTCATTGGCTCAACTCTATCAGAGTGCACACAGCCTACCTGACCCCAGCCTTGCCATGCAAAGGTGTCCTGCTCTTTCTTTTCATCATTTTTTCACTACTCCTAGTCAGAGTTCCAGACCCAACCCATGCAGATCCTGGTACATCTCTATTTGGTTTTAAGATCCTAGAGCCTCATATGTTTCCTCAATTAATGTGCATGAGTGTAGTGGTACTGTGTTCCCCAATATATTGTGCATCTTAAACTTATCTGGGGTCAGAGGACAGAACAGCCACTAGACATAAAGGCCAGAAAATGGTGGTGCACACACCTTTAATCCTAGCATTCTGGAGGCAGAGATCCATCCGGATCTCTCTAAGTTCAAAGCTACATTGGGAACAGCCAGGCATGGTGACACATGCCTTTAATCCCAGGAAGTGATGGCAGAAAGCAGAAAGGTATATAAGGTGTGAGGAACAGGAACTAGAATCTGGTTAAGCTTTTAGGCTTTTGAGCAGCAGTTCAGCTGAGATCCATTTGGATGAGGACTCAGAGGCTTCCAGTCTGAGGAAACAAGATCAGCTGAGGAACTGGCAAGGTAAGGAAGCTGTGGTTTGTTCTGCTTCTCTGATCTTCCAGCATTCACCCCAATACCTGGCTCTGCATTTGTTTAGATTAATAAGACCTTCTAAGATTCATGCTACACATGAGACTCCCTTCTAGCTCTGGAAATGCAGAGACAAGGCAATACAATAAATATGCTCCCCAAAGTCCAACTCACTGCATCGGTATTGCTTTTATAGTACAAAGCCTTGTTTGAGTGGGTTTCATCATCAACACTCTACATAAAACAGAGGCCTGCAAACTTCCTCCGCAAAGGGCCAGACAGATCACATTTTAGACAGCACAGACCATGAGGCTTCCCTAGCAATACTCCACACTGCTCCTGGAGCACAAAACAAAGGCATGGCAGTTTATCAAGAAACTACAGAGCAGGCAGCCACATCTGGCCCCCAGTGTGTAGACCCTGTAGCTTTAAGCTACCATGTGCCCACAGGCTTTGCATGCAGTGGGAAGAGGAGGAAAACAGGACAAGCTAGAGCTTTAGGTGTCTCAGTATTCTAAATTCTTTCCAGCATTATTATTCTCAGATCCCATGAAATAGCCAGGACAGACTAGAGTCTGCAGACGAGTGCTTCCTCGGGGGAAAAAATAAGACCTCCACCTGTTCCGGATATTTAAATATACCAATAATCTTTCAAAGCAGTTCATCAATTGGTACTAAGTAACAGTTGGACAGGAATAAGAAGTTCTGCCATGCAATTACACAGTATAAGGTAAAGATAGCTAATGACTGTGCACTGCATACTTTAAAATATTACAAGAAAGGAAGATGAATGTTTTCTCCACAAACACATGATATATGTTTAAGAGGATACATGTGCTTAACCTGATTAAAAAGTAGACGATGTATACATGCAGGTAAACATCTCATGGTAACTCTGTAAATGATCATTGTTATGTTTTTATAGATCAGTCAAAAATAAATTCATATTAAAATTTAAACTAGCCTTATTGATTCACTTACAATACAGCTCCTGAACCTAAAAATCAGGGAACATCACAAAAGGGGTTCAGAAAGATTTTAAGAGCCAGAGGAACAAAACAAATCTATGGTGACATTGTGTCTGCTAGAAATGCTATGGAAGCTACCCATGATACTTGAGCAATATGGCTGCCAAAATCATACCTGAATGAGGATGATACAAATAGACATGATAATGTGGAAGGGAGAGGTTTCATGGGGCCCAACCCTAGACAAAGAACTACCGGCAACTAAAGAATGCTGAAAAGCGGAGAAATAATCTTCCATAGGGAAGAGCACACCAACTGATTACCCAATACCAAATGGTCAGTCCTGAAAATATACATATAAATAACATTATACAGACTGAGCAGGTTGTATTTATGTATTTACATATATATCACAAATATATGTGTATCTGTGTGTATGTATTTAACAATTAAAGAAAAAGAGGCCATGAATTTGAGAGGGGGGTACATGAAAGGGGTTGGAAGAAGGGGAAGGGGGAAAAATGATATAATTACATTATGATTTATAAAAAATATTTACGGGGTGAGAGATGGTTCAGAGGTTAAGAGCACTGGTTGCTCTTCCAGAGGACCTGAGTTCAATTCCCAGCAACCACATGGAGGCTCACAACCAATTGTAATGAAATCTGGTGTCCTCTTGTGGCCTGCAGGCATACATGCAGACAGAACACTACACAGAGAATAAATAAATAAATCTTCAAAAAATATATTTACAATACAACGTCCTGGGGCTATAGGGATGTCTCAGCAGTTACAAGCACTGGCTGCTCTTCCAAGGGACTGGAGCTCAGCTCCCAGCCCCCCAGTTGAGGAGTCTCATAAGCACCTGTAACTCTAGCTACAGATCTGATACCTCTAGCTTCTACAGGCAGCTGCACTTACATGCATATACCCACAGAAACACATGCACATAAATAAAAATAAGTCATTTTAAAATAAAAGTATTTAGCATTTAGTATTTAGCAAAATTGAAAGATATACTTTAAAGAAATGAATTACTGAGAAATCAATACAATATAAAATTGGCCACAAAAGTAAAGTGTTTTTAGTGGATGGGATTTATGTACAAAAGACAGACAATAGGTTTCTGCTTAAGATGGTCCATAATCAAAATAGTAACTTCTTATTTCAGTAAAAACTAAAAAGGGTTAGAGTTTATGTGTGGTACGATGAAGAATACTCTCCAGTAAACTCAGAAGAATTCAAAGTCCAGAGTGCAAGTGCTGAACTTGGCTATTAATTAAATTTTGTACCAAGTAAAGAGACTGGATTAACAATCAGTTGCCTTTGTCACTTTTTAGGAAGAAGTATAATATTTTTCTATATGTACCTATTTTATACAAATACCAAACAATTCCAAACCTTCTTTAAAGTTAAGAATACCCTCAAGAATGAAAAAAAAGTACAAAGCAACAATTCACTTCTATCTGGTGTCTGCAGCTCACACTATATATAGGCAAAGCTGCTTATCATGAATGTGCTGCTTTTCCTTAGAGATGGACCTAAAGGATGGTGGGTCGGGGAGAACTATGGTCTGTGTCTCCACCTGCTGGTGCAATTTCATACTACAGCCAGAGCCAACTAAATCAAGCTAATCTTGCCTGCTGCTGTTAATTCAATGATATTGTTGTTCTCCTGACAAAGGTAAATTTCAAGAACATGCAGTCAAATATCCAAATAATGGTTTTCATTGAAAGTCGTCGGAGTAGGGCTGGGGACTGAGTGGTCTACCTGTGTGAAGTATTTCCCATCCTGTTTCAGAACTTTCATGGACAGGTCGAGAATCAGTCTGAGAAACTCCCATGTAGAATCTGGATGTGGAAAAAAAATTAAGTTTTGTAAATATGTTTTCCATCTATCAAATAGTCAATAATACAAAAGAAGAGACCCCCATGTGCTGGCACATGCCCATCATCCTAGCACTTTGGAGGCAGAGGGGAGAGGATCAGGATTGAAGAGCATCTTCTAGTAGCTTTGAGGTCAGCTTGTGCTACATGAGACTATTTTAAATATGCATGTGAAAGTTTGTTAAAAACCAAAAATGTACAATCATATAGCTGGTTTTGTGTACACACTAACACAATCACCAAGGTCAAAATCAAATTTATATCTACTTAGGATGAACAATACACCACCAATAAAGACTTAACATAGGGGACTGAGAGTGCAGCTCAGTGGTGAAGAGCTTGTTCATATGCAGGAGATCCTGGGTTCTATTCCCAGCATCACTCTCAGATAAAGAACAAAGACTGAACAAAAAGGCAGAGCTCGCCGGGCGGGGGTGACGCACGCCTTTAATCCCAGCACTTGGGAAGCAGAGGCAGGCGGATCTCTGTGAGTTCGAGGCCAGCCTGGTCTACAAAGCGAGTTCCAGGAAAGGCGCAAAGCTACACAGAGAAACCCTGTCTCGAAAAACGGAAAAAAAAAAAAAAGGCAGAGCTCAAGTCTAAAAGAAAGCTAAAAAAAGGAAATCAGCAATGCACACTGAGAAGCTGAGGAAATTCCTGGTTGTGGAGAGACAGAATGTTGCAGAATGTTGCAGCCTCCATAATAGCAATTCAGTGCCTACCTGGGTTAAACCTAACCTCCTTGAGAATATTCCATGAGACTTTTTTTCATATGTATTAACAGAACACACTATCTTCGCCCAATACCACAACTAAAAATGTCTTCAGAAGGTTTCCAAAAATCTTACAGCAGAGGTTACCCTACTTTACTTAATGTTGTCACCAATGGATTTGAATATGCCTTCATTTGTGAATTTCTTTTGTTCTCCAACTATAAAAACATGAGACTGTTACCACATTGGAACATAGTACGTAAACTCTACCATGGTCCTTCATATTTAGTTCCAGAACACTCAGACCTTTTGCACTATACGCTGTGTTTTCACATTAAGGGCAGGAAGAGAACCAAAGCCACATTAAAATCCAGCCATTTTTCCCACCATCAATACTAGTTCAACTGCTTTCAACAAATAAAAGAGGAGATGAGAAGATGGCTTGGTGGGGAATGTGCTTGCCATGCAAGCATGAGGATCTGAGTTTGACCGCCAGCACCCACATATAAAATGTGTATGGTGGCATGTGCCTCTGCAATCCCAGTGGTAAGTAGGGAGACAGGATTCCTATGGCTTGCTGGCCAGCAAGCATTGCCTACTTGATGAACATTCTAGGCTCAGTAAGAAACCCTTTCTCCTCTTTGGCAAGGATCTCCAAGTGGTAAGAATATGGCTGGCTTCTTTCTGCTCTTCTGATCTCTCAGCTTTTTACCCCACCTCCCGCCCCCCAAAAAAGAAACCCTTTCCCAAAAAAATAAGGAGGAATGTATGTGCACCCATGTGCAAATATGTACGCATGCATAAAGAGTTCAAAACACAATCTACCTTCTTCTGGAGATGTAGAGATTGGGACTGCTGTCAAATCATTAATCACATAATCAAACTCTCTCCCTTCTTTGGCGTACCTCTTCAGTACTGGAATACAGTCTTCTATGAGAACCTTTCAGAAGAAACAGGATTGGATGCATGAGTCAACACAAATGGGTATCATTTAATACTTATAAATAGGAAATGAGTCAGTTGTGGTGGCTCACGCCAGTAGGATTTGCTGAAGGAGACAAAGGCAGGAAGATCACAAGTTCGAGGCCAGCCTGGGCTACACATTTTTAAAAATAAGAAATAAATAAATAGGAAATGAAAGCTGGGGGGTAAATCCACAGCACCAGCACCAGCACCAGCACCAGCACCAGCACCAGCACCAGCACCAGCACCAGCACCGTAAACAAAGAGACCTTCACCCCTGTCTATTAATAGGAAAACTAAGTATTAAACATATACTTATATCCTTTCTTATCTGAGTAGTCCCTTCCCTAATTGACTAATGGAGACACAACCTTATTTAAAATAGTTTACATAGGTTGCCCATAGACCCTTGATAAGAAAGGAGGACAATCAGGTATGGTAGCCCACCCTGTTAATTCCAGCTCTTGGAAGGCTAGACAGAAAGAGTGACACCCCACAGGTTTGAGGGTAGCTGGTTTTTATGTTGAGTTCTTAGTAGGATGGATAAGGGAAGACTACAGTGTAAGAAGTATGGAGTTTGATATATTTGAAGATTTTTTTTGTCCTATTGTTTTATAAAACTTAATACATTGCACAAGTTGCGTAGGCAAAGTCAGAGAAAATGTGAACACCCAGCTACGTAGAGTTTGAGGCCAGCCTGTACTACATGAGATTTTTGTCTTAAAAAAATAGAAAAAAAATCCTCAACTAATCCACACATTCATCCCATCTGAGAACTAATGGTACGTCCCCATATAGAACTTGCCTAGCACATGCATGAAGGTCAGGGTTTGATCCCAGCACCCCAGAAAGTCCATTTGACACTCTCACAATCAACACAACTCTGAATACAGACAGTAAATTATTCTATCTCACTACAAATGTTCTATTCTCCTCTATGAAGTCATATTAAACCCCCTCACTTGCCAATTTAAAAGGTAAATTTTCCTTTATATCTTGGTTTCCAAACCCAAGGGCTTAAGTTTACTGAAATGCCCTTTTCAATGGTTTCTAGGACTAGCTGATTTAGTTCTCAAACAAGTGGGTAACCCAATATGTCAGCATCACTTACTAAATCTTTACCCAAGTGAAATGAAATGCATCTTGGTCCTGGCATGGTAGCTCATGCCTTTAATCCCAGAACTCTGCAGGAGGCAGAGGCAGGCAGATGTCTGTAAGTTCGAGGCCAGCCTGGTCTACAATGCAAGTTCCAGGACAGCTAGAGCTGTCTCAAAAGAAAGAAAAAGAAATACATCTTGGATATGTTAGCAGTGCGTTTGAATACATACTTGACACAAGTTCATGTTCCCATGACATCCCTCTTATCTGTCTATAGTCTGTGTCCAACTTCCTATTTGATTACAGGGCCTTCAGTAAACTAGCAATGGAAAGGACAAGCCTTCTACAATCATTGTTCTCTTAAGTTCCGTTGGCTATTTTTAGACATTTGTTTTAATAAAGCCACGTTGAAAATGTCAGTTGGCCTCACTCCCTTGGTTCTCTGACGAGAATTAGGACAAATGAGAAGCTATGGAAACTGTTCTCCTATTACCAGGCACAAGATATACCATGCCTTTCCACATACTCACTTTATTTCATGTCTTTCAGTCAAATCTTCACATAGCTCACATCAGTCTCATAATACCTCTTGCTAAGTTTATTTCTAAGCATTTAGCAAATTACTTTGAGGAGGATTTCCTGCCACACACCTCCCAATTTCCTTTCAAACTGTTCTGCATTCAGCAGAAAGAAAAAAATTAATCTTTCCTAAGTCACTTAAATCTTTAATCACTAAACCAATTTCTCGGAAGTCCAAGTAACTGTCAAGTTAAATTTCTTGGATTTTTCAAACCATTTTTTATTCCCTATACTTATTTTATTACTTTTATGACCTTCATCTTCCTATCTTACTTATTAGTGGCTTCAAAAATAAGCATAAACTCAGATACACAGCATCCATAAACTGGTTCTTACTTCCGACGAAAATAACTTTTTGCCACTTACTATATTTTTTACTTTATCATTTACTATTAAAATTCAATTTCTGATACTTTCTATTGTGTTTTGGTGGAATCCCTCTATTGCATTGTCTTTATGTGCATGTGTGCGTGTGTGTAAGCAAAGAGGACAACTTGTCCAAGTACCTCCTCTCCCTCTACCATGTGAATTAAACTGAGGTCATCAGGCTTGGAGGCAAATGCCTTTATCCACTTCAACAGTCCAATAACAGATTTCTTAAAATTCTCACCTTTAAATTTAATTTTAAACTAAATTCTACTTGAGTATAATACAGATTTTTTTTAAAAAGTCACTAAATTTAACTTATTTTACTTGATCATTTTGTATGTGTGTACATAAAATGCATACATACACATGGGTAATTCATCCTTAGTTTTCTTGGCATAGTACCTTTAATTCAGTATTAAGATTACTGTCATCATAAAAGAAATTTTTTTTTTTGTTTCTTGAAACAAATGTTAACCAGAGTAACTGTTTAAAACATATGTAAAAACTCCTGCCTTTCTAAAAACAGCATTTTAATGGACTGTTGCCTTTGGTACAGTGCTCAGGTTGATCTGTCTTCAGAACCCTCAGCAGAAAAAAAAAGGCTCAGGCTCCCCCTGGTGGTTATTCTGAGACACTAACCACTGCCACCCTCCAAGAGCTTTTGAATAGAACAAAATGTGATTAGTCCCCCCAACATTCCCCCCTACCACCAACATGAGGGAATGGGATGGTTGAGTTTGGAGAGGGACAGAGAAGGAGAGCAATGAAAGAGATATCTTGGTAGAGTGAACCCATTAAAGGGTTAGGGAGAAACCTGGTGCTAGGGAAATTCCCAGGAACCCACAAGGATGACCCCAGCCAAGACGCCTAGCAATAGTGGAGAGGGCGCCTGAACTGGCCTTCCCCTGTAATCAGATTGGTGAATACCCTAATTGTCATCATAGAACTTTCATCCAGTGACTGATGGAAGCAGATGCAGAGATCCACGGGCAAGCACTGGGTTGAGCTCCTGGAGTCCAGTTGAAGAGAGGGAGGAGGAATTATATGAGCAAGGGGGGGGGAGTCAAGATCATGATGGGGACACCAACAGAGACAGCGACCTGAGCTAGTGGGAGCTCATGGACATGTACTGACCACTGGGGAGCCTGCAGAGGACTGAACTAGGCCCTCTGTATGTGGGTGACAGTTGTGTAGCTTGGTCTGCTTGTGGGGCCCCTGGCAGTACGAATAGGATTTGTCCCTGGTGCATGAACTGGCTTTTTGGAGCCCATTCCCTATGGAGGGATGCCTTGTTCAGTTTTGATGCACAGGGGAGGGGCTTGGTCCTGTCTCAATTTGATAAACCAGGCTTTGTTGAATTCCCAGGGGAAGCCTTACCCTCTCTGAGGAGTGGATGGGTGAAGGGAGTGGGTAAGGGTGTGTGGGGAGCGTAGGAGGTGGAGGGGGGGATCTGTGGTTGGTATATAAAATGGAAAAAGGAAAAAATTAAATAAAAAAAGATGTGATTTATTAAGTTCCTAAGCACGTGGCTTTAACACCATTTAGTCATGTGGTCTTTCAATATGTACCAAATGCACACCAAAAATCCCTTGCTGCATACATCTGACCACCCGGCTCACCATCTGTGCCCTGAGGGTCAGATATCCCATTTCAGGAGACTATTGGTCAAATTCCCCTTTCCACCATACCCCTACTAACACCTAGGTTGTACAGCTGCTCTCAGTTTGTGTTTCTGGTTTTTCCATAATCTTTACAAGAAATCCATACAACAAAAGCCAGGGTGACAGAATTCTCCACCCACTGTACCCCACACTGATCTAAAGTGACCCCTACAAATTTGAATAAATCCCCTTTAAACTCTCTAAGGTTCAGCTCTTTCTTCCCAATATAAAGAACAACATCTACCAGTTATGGTGTGGGGATTAAGTACAACAGGCAGGGGGGGGGTCTGGCTCATTATTTGTCAGCCAAGATAACTTTGAATTCGGTGTGAAATAGTTCAGCCAATGTTTTGCAGAGCTGAATTCTACCCTCCCTTCTTGAATCTATCCAACAGGATAAACTAACTCTAATCTTTCTTGCCCTTTGGCCCACAAAACAATCACAATTGCATTTTAAAGTAGATAGAATTCCTGCCTCAAATTAACATGCAGGTAGCACAAATTTAAATGTACATACATTAGGGAAGGAAGAAGTGCTAGGTAATTGACATCCCAAAGTACAGCACTCATCCAAATTGCTTATAAATCTGGAGGTACACATTTCATATTCTATTCAATTAAGAATTTGCTTGGGTATCTTACTCTAACAAGCCCCATGTCTATGAAAAGGAAATATATGCATCCCCACACATCAGAGTGGCTGCTCACCTTTCAGGCACAGTACAATTTAGGACAGAAACTAATTGCTTATTTGCGACATGTTAATAAACTACACCTACCAATTAAAAATCTGAATTCCCTCTGAAAGACCAAGACTTCAAGGCATTATTCAGGGTAGTGACAGAAGGTGGTAGATTTAAAAAGTACATGACATCTTTTATGCCAGGATTAATGTGGGCTGGAGACATCACTCAGTAGTAGTGGGTGGGTGGCTAGCATACAGAAGGGCCAAGTCCCCAATAACATAAAGAAAAGTAATCTGATAGAATCCACACTGGGGACTTCTTTCAGTATCTATACACCATCTACTCTAAGTATGATAGATACTATATTCACACAAAGAGACTATCTTCCTAACCAATTATACTAAAAGGTACAGGCCCAATTGATAACATGTATTTCTATTTTCAGTCAATTTAAACGTAGAAATTTAAACCAAGAAATAATTACCTGATAGCAGTCTCCTTTAAGATTGTCTAAGACATCTCCACATGTTCTTCGCATGTATTTCTTACATCCGTCAATTACCATTTGGTCAATGTTCAAAACGGGTTAAAGAGAATTTGAATGTACCAAAGAATTCTGAAAGAGTAAGTCTCCTCTAAAACATAAAGGTTCAGACAAATAAAGGTTTTGACTATCGCCAGCTGAGGATCATAAAGTTAAAAAGATATTATGGTGACTTTATTTTTCACACTAAGGACATTCAAGTGAAACTAGATTTTTTTTCTTCTCATGAAATGGCTTAGGGAAGCCATTCTGATAGCCACTAAGCAGCAGATGGGGCACCCAACATAAATGCTCTCTAATCCACAACTACGTTATTATCTCTGCTTCTCTACTGGTAGACACATACAAGGCTGCTAGTTTGTAAATTTAAATGTTTGTCCCAGAAAGACAACACATCTGCCTTGTGTAGTGGATATCTGTTCTATGACGCTGAAGTGTAGCCCTAGAAATATAGCAGGTAACTGCTCTACCCGCCTGTGACCTTAAGACCTGAGATGCACGTATACAGCTCTCTGCTCTCCCTTGTGGGCTTGGATGTGGGACTGACTGAGACTGCCAGAACCGCGTGCCCCAGCATTCCAGAAACTGCGGCAATTCTGTTCTGTACCAGTGAGTTTTTCTCCCCTAATAAATTCCTTCACCCTTTAAGCAGACTCCGTAGATTTCTCTCTTTATCTGGTGTTCAATGTGGGGCATGAACCCATAACCCTGGGATTAAGAGTCCCATGCTCTACTGACTGTATTTCCTGTTTTCTCTGTTATTATTATGTTCCTTCTCGGGTCTTTGATGGGGTTGAAGACCAGATAGTTACAGTTATAATCTTCTAGCATCTTAGCTAAGGACATTTCAGATACTAAAGTTAGATTTTTTTAGAATAGGACAGCTATTGGAGTAATCTCTCTAACATGCCATTTACCTATGTTCTGGAAATTTCTGGATTTTAGTATGTATCTCTTGTTTGATGTTGTTCTTGCTGGTTGTATTTCTATTTTTGTTTAGGTTATTACCTTTCCCCCACTCCTGAACAATACTTGATAATCGTTCCTATTGTATATAGTTTTATATTAGGTTAGAACTTTCTTATTTAGACAAAAGGGGGAGATGTAGTGAATAGCTGTTCTGTGACCCTAAAGCACAGCCCTAGACTCCATGGCTTTCTTACATTAGCCTTGAGTTTGGGGAAACACTCACCAGACTTTGAAGGTACCAAAGAAATCCATTTACCTTGTGTTCACTCTAGCTCTCTGGGAAGTTAACTTAACACATCTGCCTTGAGTCTGGGGAAATTCTCACTGGAGTCCAAAGATATCAAAGGAAGGAGGACCAAAATCCATTTACCTTGTTCTCTCATTCTCTCCTCTCTCTCTTGCTCATCTTTTTAATTAAAAAAAAAAATGTATGAGCCGGGCGGTGGTGGCCCACGCCTTTAACCCCAGCACTCAGGAGGCAGAGGCAGGCGGATCTCTGTGAGTTCAAGGCCAGCCTGGGCTACCAAGTGAGTTCCAGGAAAGGTGCAAAGCTACAAAGAGAAACCCTGTCTCGAGAGAAAAAAAAACATTGTATCCGTGTACGCATGCTGTTATGTGCATGCACCACATACATGCTTGCTGCCTGGAGGCCAAAAGAAGGCATCAGATAGACTGGAACTGGAGTTACAGACTGTGGTGGTAATCTAATTGTACTGAAATGTGATTTTGAATGTATGTTAATAAATAAAGTTGCCCAGGGGTCAGAGCTATTAGAGCCATAGCAAGAGTGTGGCGGTGGTGGCACACGCCTTTAATCCCATAGATCTCTGTGTGTTCAGGGATACAGCCAGCATTGGAGACATATGCCTTTAAGACCTAGGGGGCTGTACATTCAGACAGTGATGAGGCAGTCACGTGTTTGGGTTTTACAACCAATGAGAAGGCAGAACAAAATACTATAAATAGACGAACAGACAGGAAATAGGTCTCTTTTCGGGAAGCTGGGACACCACAGGCGGAAGGGTGAGATTTTAGCTCTGAGCTCTGACCTCTCGGCTTTCTCTTTTACATTGTTTCTGTGTTTCTTATTTAATAAGACGGTTAGTTACATCTACAACAGACAGTTATTAGTCCCCAAGTGGATGCTTGGAACTGAACCCAGGTCCGCTGGAAGAGCAGAAAGTGCTCTTAACCACTGAGCCATCTCTCCAGTCTCTGAAGTTGTCCTCTTATACAATAAAGGATATCTCTACCATGGTGACCATCTTTGGTTTCAGTTTGACAATTTCACATAATATGCCACCATCTCCACCTCCCAGAATCAGTACATCTTTGCCAGCATAATCTTCTTTACCGCTGCCCATGATGGCTCGGGTATACGCCAAGTCACTCTCTGCCAAATCTAGGGAGGAAACAAGAGACCCAAATGATGACTCTACCCAAATATACAAACTGCTGAAATCTAGCTTGCAATGGAAAATTTCCAACTTTCGAAAACTGTCCATAATGTGCAAGGTTGTTTTGTGGATTATGTAGTTTTCACAAACTTAATGCATCTGACACATAGGATAAAAAGAACTAAGTTACTTAGACAAAAATACAATCTTGAGAATGTGCTGATAGTCTGAGTAATTAAAAGAAATGACACCTTTAAAGATGACAAGATGTGCCATCTGGAAGCTGCTTTCAAGATAATATTCTAAGACAAAATGCAGCAGGGTTAGAGAAAACAAGACTGGCTACTCACTGGTATTGTCAATGTCCTATGGTGAGTATCTGTGGGCTCAATGCACTAGTTTGTCTATTTAGGTTGAAAGTTTTCCAAAATAAAATGCTATTTTTAAACAAGCAACTGTACTTTCTAACTAACTACTCATCAAAGAAAAATCTATTTTAAGACGAAGTTTACACAAAAATCCAGACAACCCATAAGTTCATACAATGTAAGTAAATCACAAAAGATAGCAGTGTCAGAATTAAGCTCACTCAGATGAATCCAAGACAATGGCATTTGTCAAGAAGGCAGTGGCTGCCAACACATCACCACCTTGTTATGCAATCAGCATAGGAATGGAATACTTACTAACATCACCACTGAGGATGAGAATATTTCCAAACTGCTTTGAGTGTAGAATTTTAATGTTCTGATATGGTGAATCTTCATCATACACCACTTCATCTATGTCATACTCAACCAGGCGCCCATCAGCAGTAGGCCAGTATCTGTCAATGGCCCCTCCTCGAACTATGGGTGGTAAACTGGAGAGAGAGAGACAGAAAGGAGCCTTTGGAGAACACTGCATTACAAAAGGACTTGGGATAGAGAATTTACAGAAGGCCATGAGGGACAAGAGAGATGGTTTAGTGGTTAAGAGAGTGTATTGCTCCTGCAGAGGACCCAAGTTTGGTTCCTGGGTAGTGGCTCACAACTGCTTGTAACTCCAGCTCCAGGGAGATCTGATACCTCTGGCCTCTGCCAGTACCTACACTCACATGTACATACCCACAATTATAAAGAAAAAAAAAGGTGGCCATGTGCTTGTAGCAGGCAGACTCTTTAAAAGCACAAAACAAATCCAAAGTATGGACATTTACCTATTCACAATCAAACTCTACCAAGTTGCAACAACTGCACAAAACTATTTCTTTTAAAAAAAAAAAAAAAAGAAAGAAAAGGAAACATTTCTGGCAGGTTTTAAATTTATTTTTCCTAATGAAAAATTGAAGGAGAAAATGGGTATGGTAGGTATCACACTTTTCAGTACATATCATCGAAGGTCTGCAAAACCACATGGGCATTACTGAAGTTACAAGTTCTGTTATCTAGTATAGATTCCATCTTCAAGAACCCTGAGCTGTCCCAATTATGTCCTTGATATCTGTCATGCTTTTGAATTAAGTTTCAAATACTACATTTTCTTTTCCCTGCCCTTTTTTAACCCTCATTTCACTTGGAATATTATTATTATTATTATTCTGTCGTTGTCTCCAAAAAGTCCAGATCAAGCATCTGGAAGTCATCCTTCATGTGGACTTAGCTGAGATCCTCTTGATTGGAGTCAGGTTGGCAAACAGCATCCAGGTTTCCCAGCAGGAATACAGGGAGACTTGTACTTTTGTTAATGATATGAAGTAGATGTTACTGAGCTACGGTGATGTCTGCTGGACCTCTTTCCATCTGCAAATGTCCCTCTGACATTATTAGGCTGTTCTATGGTTCTCAGAAACTGAGTACTATACCAACAGTTATTTACCAGTGGCAATGCGATTAAGAAGCTTCTCGCCTAAAGCAATTCTCACTGGAGAAGTGACAAAATGACAAGCTTCTCATTCCATGCTTTTGTAAATAATCAAGTGCTGCTGATAGGGTGAATATATCAAAAACTACCAGCAGAGGACACTAAATGACAAGAAAAAAAACCCAACAATGAAGTGGTACTATGTACAGCTATGCAGGCCCGTAATGCTGGAAACTGCCTCACATCCCAGTTTCCTCTCACCTGCTTCCAACAGTACAGACACAAGTGAACAAAACTTTCTCAGAAACACACACACACACACCTGTTAACTGCTCCAAAGCTGACAAAGTAATTCCCCACAAACTCATTTAATCCTCACAACTCCTGCTTTAAGCACATCATCTTTCTAGGGAATGAATTCATCCTTCCGAATGTTAGGCAGAGCAGAGGAATTTCTTGTGTTAGGTAATGGCCTAGTTAAGACAGTCCCCAGCCAGGTGGTGAGCAGGACTGACAGAAGCTTCTTCCAACCCTGGGTGGACTGAGGTTAGTAGAACAAGTTGAGAGGGAACCTGTGGCAATAGGTGACTTTGACCAATCTCATTTAGAAAACCATTTCACATTAATAGTAATAATAATGATGATGATGATGATGATGATGATGTTGATGCTCCATGAATAAAGGTGCTTTCGGCCTTGCCTGACAACTTGAAATTTGATCCACAGGAGCCATATAAAAAATGAAAGGAGAGACTAACTCTGCCAAGTTGTCCCTCTGACCTTCACACCCACCCACATATGCATAAATGCACTAAATAAAGATAGATAGATAGATAGATAGATAGATAGATAGATAGATAGATAGATAGATAGATAGGTAGGTAGGTAGGTAGATAGATAGATAGATAGATAGATAGATAGATAGATAGATAGATAGATAGATAGATAGATAGACAGATAGGTAGATATTCCTTTATACTGTGTGAATATATGACACTGTGCTTAGTTCAATAAAGAAGCTAACTGGCCAATAGCTGAACAAAGTAAGGTTAGGCAGGAGAGCCAGACTAGGAGAATGCTGGGAGGAAGAAGGGCCGTCTGGAGTTGCCAGCCAGCCACAGAACAAGCAGAGATGAACGTGCCATGCTAATAAAGGTACTACCATGTGGCAGGGTGTAAGGAAGGAATATGGGTTAACTTAAAATGCAAGAGCTAGTTAGTAATAAGCTTGAACTACTGGTCAAACATTATAATTAATATAAGCCTCGGTGTGTTTATTTGAGAGTGACTGAGGGACAGAAACTTCTGCCAACAAGTTCCCACAAATGCTGAACACAAACAAAGTCAAGGATTTCAGGGGAGAAAATCCACCCTAGTTGACAGTCAGCCAGTTCTAACCAGTACATATGTCTGCTCTCAACTGGTTCAACGCTGCTTGGATTAACTTGAAACTCTCTCTTCTCTAGATTTTTAAAGCCCAGCAAGAAACAAAGGAGATCTCTAACAGGATATGGCAGCCATCAGCTTGATATGGAGTTCAAGGCAGCATAAAGTGTAACTCCCTGCAGTGGGCTACCAGGAGACCCCATGCAGCCCCACAAAACCAACCTTTCCTGCTCAAAATCAAACCTGGATTTGCAAGACAGCTCCATGTGTTCTTGGCTTCAAGTACACTATATATACATTGCAAGAATTTTCCCCAAACTGAAACTTTAGGTGAGCTTTATTTCCTTGTTCCTTCTCGCTTGAAAACACAAGACAAGTCTTCACAGAAATCCCAAGGCTTCTTAGTCAAAATTTGTTGCTCAATAACCACTACTGAAAAGGCAATAGGAATTTCAGATAACATTACCAAGTTATCTGTTTTTAATTCCATCTCTGACAGTGTCATTTCCCAGACAGGATTGTAACAATCCTTTTGCTCTGATGTCTACAACAAGGCAATCCCAACTTCCCATTCTTTCCATCCTTATTTTATAAAAAGGATATTAAAAACAGTGACAAACAAAAACAAGTCCCATGTTTTGATATAAAAATCTAAAGTTTGTGACCAGTCTCACATAGAAAACTCCTCCATCAACCAGAGTTTTTGTAAATACCGAAGCCCAGAAACATATTCTTTTTCTAAGTGTGTGTGTGTGTGTGTGTGTGTGTGTGTGTGTGTGTACACACACACGACTGGAAATGTCAAAAGAAAACCTGCACAAGTCGGTTTTTGCACAAGTCGGTTTTCTCCTTCTACCCAATGTTCTGAGTACTGAATTCAAATTTGGCAGCAAGTGCTTTTACTCATGTAGCCAGTTCCCCAGCCTCAGAAGTACACTCTATTTACTCACACCAAGAAGCAGCGATGATAAAAACCAGAGTACCTTTTGGTGTGGGACAATTCATTTTCCCAGAGTTGGGGCATGTTCAATTCAAGGAAAATTGCCAGCAGGAAAAAGATAAAGCGCAGAAAGCAGTGCGGGTGTGGACATAGCCAAGGACTACTAAACTGAACTTGGGTGGGATTAAAAAAAAAATCTATGTTCTCAGATCTCAACCATGGGCAAGTTTCACATGAGGATTGGTTCTTTTCAGGACTCTCAGGCATCCTATTGCTCTTCCCTACCTAACCACCTACAAGAAGCTGAAGAACTACCTAGTTATCCCAAATCTGCCCTGGCGCTTTCCTATGGCCTGATCAAACTCAGCAGGTTGAGTCACTAAGAGTTTAAACATCCTACTTTTGTCAACAAGAGTTTTCCTATTCTAAAATCTGCTGTGAGATAAAGAAAACAGTATCCTATTCGGATCAGCACATCAGTGATCTGGGTAAATTCCCTCCATGTCTGTCTGTATCCACCTTTTGGCTTTACACAGCTCCAGCTTGTTGGAATTATTCAGTATCATCTTTCTGCCTCATTATAGGCTCACCCTCCCACCCCCCCACTCACCCCACCCCCCGTCCTGTTTGTTTTTACATATTTGTCCTGTTTGGGATGGGATGAGAGGATGGTTCAGTTCACCATACAGACAGTAGCAGGCATTTGACTTTGATCTTCTCCACATCTTCTACAGACACAAAGACCAACACTGCCATTCTGATTATTGTACCAATTAAACAAATTAATTGGTATTAATTATTTTACCAATTAAACAAATATTAAAAGGACATTCATGAGTAGATAGACTTACCGCTTCACCCGCCCAGTTCTGTCCTGACTCAGTTCTTTCATTTTTTCTTCTATTTTGTTCAAAAGCTACAATTAAAAGAAAACAGTGGGCTTAGAGTATAAACTGCACAGAATAGCTAAATTACAGAGGCGAGGCATAAGGCTATGCTGACCACAATGTGATACTGGCCTATACACATGCCCCTTATGCTTACTGGAGCTTCCTGCCCTGGCCCAAATCCACACTCCCATACTACCTCTCCCTCATGATGTTGCCCTAACCACAGTCTGAATATTCCCAAGAGGAAACTGGGAAGAAAGCTAAAGGATACTGCAGGTGCAAAACTGTACATGAAGGTTCTACATTCCCTCCAATAGGAAGTGAAACCCATTCCTTGTATTCAGAAGGTAAAAGGAAAGCCAACAGCTAGGTTTCCAAACCTTCGGGATTAATTCTTCACGAAGGAGGCAAGTTTAAATTTCAGCTAACCTGAAAGTCAACACTCAAGAAGCTAAGCAGACTTTCAGAACCTTAAATCTGGGGAGATAAAATACACAACATTTTGAAAGGAGAAAGAAAAGTGAAAACCAACGCTGTCAGTTTCTTGTTTGCCTTGCGCGTCACTGTCGTAACTCTGAAGGTCCAGCAACACCAATCCATGGGGATAAATCCTCAAATTGGCAAAGCTACAAAAGAAAGTGTAGTTTTCCGGTTAGAAATTGTTATCAGGGCACTTCAAAGAGAAGAGATGTAGGCCCAACCAAGTTCTTTTTTCCTTCAATGTCAAAGTTAATTCTCTGGCCTTTTTTGCAATTCCAATTCAGAGATGGGAGGTGGGACATGGTCACTTGTGGAAGATTTAGGAAAGGGCCAAATACTAAGCTTTTAATTTTACTTCTTGGGCTCTGAAATTGATCTAAGTCTATGACTGATTCCTATTATCTAAATCTATAAATTGATTCACAGGCTATGAATCTGACTTTGTACATGTGTATGTGGGGGAGAGGACGGCCAGGAGTCCCAGGCCACCTCCCAAGCACTGAAATTACAAGCACATGCCACCCAGCTTTTGTACATGGGCTCTCATGGGGAACACAGATCCTCATGAGGCAAACACTTTACCACCTGGGCTATCTCCTCACGCCCTGTAAGCATGTGGTTTTTAGTTCTGTTTTTGGTTTTCCTGAGCATGAGACCTGTCCTGGAGTATAGTTGGTATACCCAAAGTGACTTCATCAAAAAACAAAAAACAAAAAACAAACAAACAAAAAAAAAACTCCGAGTTTCCTTCTCCCAGCAGGTTTTCATTAAAATTAGCTTCTTGGCTAGCTAGGGGTAACACTTGGTGCCCACTTACACTTCCCAGCACTGGAATTTTGTCTGGCTTGAGCTTCCTCTGGCACTTGATTTTTTATCAAGGGTCCCCAGGAGGTTTTGTCAGGTTTAGTTAACCAGGAGGAGGGGAAGATTGGGAAGGGCAAACTGGGCTCTCCCAACTAACCTTCAATGTTCATAAGAGAAAGCAGTCGTCCTGGCTGGAAGGCTAAGAATGGTGTATGTTTTGAAAGAGTTCTTTAAATACAAAAGGGAAGAATGTGTGACAGCAACCTTTACGAGTATGTTTAATCTAAACAGGCAGTGGTGGCGCACACCTTTAATCCCAGTACTCGGGAGGCAGAGCCAGGTGGATCTCTGTGAGTTGGAGGCCAGCCTGGGCTACAGAGTGAGTTCCAGGACAGCCAGAGCTGTTACACAGAAAAACCCTGTCTCGAATATCCAAAATAATAATTACCATTACTATTGTTATTATTAAAACCTTAATTTCCACACTGGTCTCTTTTTTTTTTTTCAATTGGCCTCGGGGAGTCACCTAAAGGTATTATGTAGTCCTGAAACATACTTCTCCTATCCTCCCACACATGCTTTCATTTTGTGTTCATTTTCCTTTCAGAAGCAATTTCTGAACAATTCTTCCTGAGCCTGACTTTTTTCCATCCCATGTTTTATTATGGTCTTAGCATCCCGTGTTTTATCATGGTCTTAGTAAAAGATAATCTCTTCTAGCAATGCTCTAGCCAGCAGCAGCAGCAACAGAAGAAGAAGGAGGAGGAGGAAAAGGAGGAGGAGGAGGAGGAGGAGGAGGAGGAGGAGGAGGAGGAGGAGAAGCAGCAGCAGCAGCAGCAGCAATGCAACCAGGGCCTTCTTGGAAATGCAACAGGGGCAGAAAGGACTCTGGCCCAGACCCGCTGAAGCAGAAACTCTGGGGTCGGGGTGGGGAGTTGTCCAAAAATCTGTTTTAACCAACTCCAGATCATTGCCTACCAAATGTCACACTGTTTATTGCCAGGGGTCTTGTTCTGGTCCTAGCCACACAGGAGAATCACTAGGGCTTTAAAGAAATACAGAGGTCCAGGTCCAGTGGCCTTCTGCTCTGGCGGGAAAATGCCTAGGCAGAAGAATTTTATGAAAGCACTGAATTTTAGCCTCCTCTAAAAGATGTCAAGGGACAAAAAAAAAAAAGCTTGGCTATCATCCCTAGCCCCAACTTTGCTCCCATCTAAAATCCATGAGATTACCTTACCTGCCATTTTTGTTCGTGTAGGTTGCTAAATAGCCATGGTCCTGCCAGGCGTGCACTGACTCTGCCATCCCATGCTCCTGAAAAATGGACTGAAGGCCTTTCAGAATGGCCTCACCGTCAGCTGGAAGACAGGAAATGAGGGAAGGTGATTAGGAAAAACACGTGCAGAAGGAAAGCTAAAGGCTAAGGTGTGGAGTTCAGTAGTAGAGCCCTTGCCTAGCATGGCTGGGGCCCTGCGTTCCATCCCCAGCAACATGAAACATTAAAATTAAATATAAAATAAGAAAAGCTAATGTGACATGATTTGATGACTGAACCTTCTCCACCCTGCACGGAAAGGCTAAAAAGAACACCTGGCTACCCGATAAGAACGCAAGAACTGACCACAAATAGGTATGCCAAAGACACAGAGAAATAACAATCCAATGAAACTAAAGATTTCAAGAGAATGCGATTCCATTTTAGGCTAAATAAATTAATGGGAACACATAGTTCTAGCAGGGGGATGCATACCGATTATTGATGAGTCTCACTCATAATAGGAATTTTTGTTTTATTTTCTAGATGTTTACAAAAGGAAACTGTTGCTGATACAGATGAAAAGTAGGAATTAAAAAGTGACATCCAGTAACATACTTGGAAATAGCAAAAACTCAACAATCCCAACAGAAGGAACTACTGTGTTGTGAGCATTTCCCCTCTCCACCCTGCCCCACCTCACAACTTGTCCCTCAAAAGTAGAGCTTGGCATCATGAACTGGTTGGACATGCATGGTGTGGCTCTGGAGGCTCAGACAGGAGGATGTGTCGGGAGTTCAATACCAGTCTTGCTCCAATGTGAGTTCCAGGCCAGCCTTGGCTACAGTGTGAAGGCCTGTCTCAACAACAACAACCAAAAATAAGCACTCATTAACCTCCCACAAACTCATTTGGCAAAGTCAGAATCTTCAATAACATGGCAATACGTAAAAGAACAAAATTCAGTTTATTCTGCTGCAATTATATCTGCAAAGCAGCCCTTTCCTGACAAAGGTAAATGAAGAACCAATTCCAAGAGAAATTACTATTCCTCCTGGAGCTTCTGTAGACTGGCTCCTCATGAGAAAAAAAGGAAAGAAAAGAAACGGGCCTCTATTAGGAAACATCTTTGCAGATATAAATGACTTACATTTCACCAGATAAGAGCATCTAGACTGTCTAAGTGGGCTTTAAACCCACTAAGTGTCCTTTTAAGAGACAGAAGACACAGGGAGAAAGAAGGGGCAAGTGACTTGATAGCCAAACTGAAGGAACTTAGGTCACCTCCAAGACAAAGCTTCAAATCAGACAGAAAGGAAGGCCACAGAATCATGCCATAAACCCATCCCAACAAAAGCAGCTGGGAATACAAGCAGTAGCCAATGACTCACTGAATTCTCTTCCTAGCAAAACCGTACCTTTGGCAAACCCATTTGGCAGAAAATAATCCAGCTTGCTTTACTCTTCTGAAATTGGTTTTAGGAAATTAAAACAGTCTGAATTGTGTCTCCAGAACTACAGCATTTAAGACAACCCATCTCCCCTAAAAAGTATTTCCGGGGGCTGGAGAGGTGGTACTATGGTTATAAGTACTGGCTGGCTTCTTTGGAGAGGACCTGAGTTTAGCTCTCAGTACCCACATGATGGCTCAAAACCATCTGTAACTACCATTCCAGGCAGGATCCAACACCCTTCTGGCTTCTGTGAGCACTGCATGTACCATGATATTGCTGGTACAATATCAACTTATGTCAAGTTGACATACAAACTAGAGTTATCTGAAAGGAAGGAGCCTTAATTGAGAAATGGCTACATAAGATTTGGCTGTAAGGAGGCTGCAAAGGTGGCTCAGTGGTTAAGAGCACTGGCTGCTCTTCTTGAGGACCGGAGTTCAATTCCCAGCACCCACATTGTGGCTCACAACTGTCTATAACTCCAGTTATAGACAGATCCAACACCCTCACACTCCAGATCCAACACCCTCACACAGGCATACATTCAGGCAAAACATCAATGCACATAAAATAAAAATAAACCATTAAAAATTTAAAAAAGATTCACCTGTAAGGCCCATTTTGTGCCATCCCTGGGATGGAGGTCCTGGGTTCTATAAAAAAAAGTATGCTGAGCAAGCCATGAGGAGCAAGCCAGTAAGCAGCATCCCTCCATTGCCTCTGCATTAGCTCCTGCCTCCAGATTTCTACCCTGAGTCCCTGTCCTGATTTCCTTCAATGATGAACAGCAATGTGGAAGTATAAACCAAATAACCCCTTTCCTCCCCAACTTGCTTTTTGGTCATGGTGTTTTCTTGCAGCAATAGAAACCCTAACTAAGACGCACATGCAGGCAAAACACCCATACACATAAAAAAATAAATAAAAATAAAAAGGGGAAACATTTGATTTGCAAACTTGATCACATGAACTAAACCTGTTCAGGTTCAGTTTATTTCGCACCATAGCCTGATGGATCAGTCCACTGTGCAAGTGAGAGAGCTAAGCACAGAGCAAGAAGGAAAAGAACACCCAGACCAACAGAAGCTACCCTAAATGTAGAAATCACTATGTCATTACACAGTTCTCCTTGGCTAGACAGATGTTTTCTGTTTTGAGAGTGTATAAAACAAATAATCACTCTTGGTAAATGGCCTCAAGGCTGTGTTCTTGTTGGCATGCTACAAAACAAAACAAGTGGAAGGGGAAAATGCAGCATTATCCTGGATGTGATGTACCAGGAACCTAGCCTGGGGAACTAGTATAAACTCAGTTACTTGGGCCAAAAAACTGGGATGCCTTAGATGTAGTGCAGAGTTCTTGATTGCTGGCCAGCATGGTAGCCATCCCTTTTTCTCACTGGCACAATTAGCCAAAAGGCATCATATGGACTAAAAGCAGCCCTCTGGCTAGGTTTCAAGATAAAGATCAAAGGGTAAAAAAGAAATCCAATTTCAAGTGTTACTTGTTTCCACACTATGGGCATTAACCCCACACCCACCCCCAACTGAGGAAAACCAGGCAGGTCTGAATGAATATATTTCTGGCAGGCCAGTTCTTTAATTGCTCCCATGCCCAGTGTGTGTGTCTCCTGGTTCCTGTGGGTGTCTGAGTGTGCCAGCACAGCTAGGAAGGTGTCTGTAGGGGGCTATTGGAATCATTCTATTTGCTTTACTGCCACTTGACATCACATTCATTTTCTTCCTGAGCTGGGGCCTCTCTTACTATCTCTGCTGCTTCCAGGCCCTAAAGAGTCCAGAGGGGAGGATGGGGCTGAACAGCCTCCCGGTATCCCTTTACAAAAATCAGGGTTTAATGGAAAAACTGAAAGCAAGAGCTCTGAGCTCCAGTTCACTTAAAGTTGGGTGGTGGCTTACTTATCTTGATCTCAGGTGCTCAATAGATATTGTACAGGTCAATGAAATCCATTTTCATTTGACTAAATTCACAATCATTATTACTCCGTCTCTACATAGTTTTGAAATCATCTAGATCAGTAGTGTTCAATCCTAAGTGCACATTATAATCACCTGGAGAATTATTAAAAATTTCAATGCCATCTGCTTGACCATTTAAATAAAAACATTAGTGTAGGACCCAAGCACCAGTATTTTTAAAAGCTTCCTGGGAATTTCCAATATGTAATAGATCTAAACCATCCTATTCAAAAGGAAAAAAAAGAGCTGAGGATATACCTCTTAGCATGTGAAGTCCTGAGTTCTAGGCCCAGTACTAAGAAATAAGGAACCTCTACCCAGAATTTTCATACTAAATACACTCAAGTTCAAAAAGCTACATAACATACTCAGGGTGTGGATTTGATAAAAACATATTATTTAGTTGGGCGGTGGTGGCGCACACCTTTAATCCCAGCACTTGGGAGGCAGAGGCAGGCTGATCTCTGTGAGTTCGAGGCCAGCCTGGGCTACAGAGTGAGTTCCAGGACAGGCTCCAAAGCTACAGAGAAACCTTGTCTCAAAAAACAAAAAACAAACAACAAAAAAACATATTATTTGCACATTTGAAATTCTCGAGCAACAAAAATAAAGCCTAGCCAAGCATAGTGGTAAATGCCTTTAATCCCAGGGAAGCAGAGGCAAGTCAGAGCTGTTGAGACTGTCATTCATAGACAGACAGACAGACAGAAAGACAGACAGACACATGAAAGAAAGAGAGAGAGACAGAGGGAGAGAAAGAAAGGAAAGAAAAGAAAAGAAAAGTATTTTCAAAATAAAGTCAAAATTCTATTAATTGAAGTCGTAAGTGTCCCAGAAATGCTCCAGAAAATGCTCTGCAATTAATGAAAACCTAACCTTCATGGCTGTCTAGTACACAACATGTAACTTGACCCAAGAAACTGGGTTTTGCTCTATCAGCATTTCTCAATACTCAAATTGGGGGTGAGAGCAACAATGTGTGAAGGACCAACTATTCCCTTTCAGGGCTTTAAAAGCCCTAGTCATACCTATCAGATGTCAAGGATGCATGTCCCCTTGCCAAGAAAAAAAAGTGTCCAGTTGGCCCAAGTTCAAAAAAACAGAAGAAAGAGTAGTAATACTTTTGAGAACTACTAGATACTCTAAACACGGTGAAATGAGTGTGAGATTGGAGTATACCCAAATTTGACAAAACAAGGGAGGACAGTGGCATCATAAATGCCTACAAATCAGGAGAAAGTGTTAAGAAGATCCAAAGGCTAAGAGATAAATGTACTTTGAAGTAGGCATAGTAATCTAAAGTAGGCCAGTAAACTGCTGTTTGGCAGTTCTGAGAAAATTCATTACAGTGGCTGGGCAAGAAGGCTGGGTTATAATATAACCTTTGAATTATTACTAAGAATCTTCCAAAAGGCTCCAAAACAGTGACCTCTCCCAGGATAAAAATGTGTCTTTTGTCTAATGAACAATGCAATGTCCCCATTTCTAGGATGCTGCCTGATCTGTTTACTTGACAATAACTTATGATGATGTGGTCCATATATACCACCACTAGAAGGAAGGAAGGAAGGAAGGAAGGAAGGAAGAGAGAGAGAGAGAGAGAGAGAGAGAGAGAGAGAGAGA